CTGCCGGGGAAGCAATCAGCTGAACTTCTCAGAGAAGATGGATGCTTACAGCTGAAAGCAGACTGCATGTTGGAAAGCCGCGCTGCAACATCTGGCTGTCAGTTAGAGGGCAGGATGGAGGCATGTTGTTGCTCACTGATGTGTTTCATGTTCTGCTTTGTTGCTGTTGTTAATGTGAAGGAGGAAGCCAGAAAAACAACCTGAATAGCAGGAGATTTGCTTCCTCTTCATCACCTGAGCGCCGCCGACGTGACGGACAGGAGGAATTACAGGCTGGGACCCGCATGCACACACACACACACACACGCACACACACGCACGCGCACACACACACACGCACGCACACACACACACACGCACGCACGCACACACATGCACGCACACACACACACACGCACACACATGCACGCACACACGCACACACACACACACACGCACACACATGCACGCACACACGCACACACACACACACACGCACGCACGCACACACACACGCACACACATGCACGCACACACGCACACACACACACACGCACGCACACACACACACACAAGCACACACACGTACACACTCACACACACACACACACACACACGCACACACACACAAGCACACACACATACACACTCACACACACACACACACACGCACGCACGCACACACACGCACGCACGCACACACACACACACGCACACACATATACACTCACACACACACACACACACACACACACTCACACACACACACACACACGCACACACACACACACATTGGTCTTGTTTAGCTGGAAGACTGCAGAGCTAAACTCATTTCACCTTTGCTGCAAGAGCGCAGCTCCAAATTGCTTCCTTTCCTGAGAAGGCCTGGGTTGCTGTAACGAACACAACAGTTCTTGGGCGCTTCAGCGGATCCTTTTACACTCCCAACTCTTCTCAGTGTGTGTGTGTGTGTGTGTGTGTGTGTGTGTTTGCAGAGCCTTTCATTATGAGCGATTAGCTTCATTGGTGTTAGCAGCTGCTGAAAGTGAATGCGCTGCAGACACACAATGAACTCTGCTGGCAGTCGCTAGAGGTCACATTATATGGCCAATCATTGCTTCATTTGTTCTCGTTAAGTGTGTCATAATTGTAACTGTCCGTGGCCAGAGCTCTAATCATGAGTGACAACTCTGCCAATTTCACAAGGGCCTGCATGCAGCCGGCCGTCCAGGCGGCTGTCCGGCTCCTGGGACGCGGCGCCATTATTTCTGTCCAGCAGGCTTTGCGGTATTTGAGGAGGATTACTGCTGCTTGTTTGTTGCCGCCGATCTTCACTTGGACGGTAAAGAACGGTCCAGTAAACAGCCTGCAGGCCGAGTGGGGAGCACTGCCTGTGACAAAGTCCACTCAGGCTGTGGCAGCCAATCAATAAGAGCCTCGGCGCTCCTCCACCTCTCCGTGTGTCTGGAGTCCAGTTAGGGAGGAAAGCCGGGATTTTCTTCCTGTTTTTTCAGAGCTTGAGTTTTCCGCTGAACCCACAAGGAGGGTTGCTAAATTGTAGCTGCATACTAACAGGTTCCTCTGAATCAATTACCATTTGGATAGAAATGTCAGCTTTGGAAAGTGTCACTGGGCAGAGGCTGAGAGGAACCGCCGCTTTATTAAGGGTGGAGGAGAAACCCAGGGCTTCATAAACAACTAAAATCAGTTTCTAATGAAGCAATCATCTTGTGCTTGGCTGTGCAGAACAGAGGCAGAAAACAGGAAATGAAAAATTCCCTGGTAATTTGGTAAACTTTGTGTTGACTGTGAGACCTGCTCTGACTTCAGCAGCATGAAGCACAAACTCCTCATTTCATCAGAGAAACACAAATAGAACTAAATAATAATAATAATGAGAATATTGCACAATCAGAATGAAACAGGAATAAATAGATAAAAAACAAACTAACCAAGGACATTTATTTATCCATGTGATTCAGCTCCATGTTTTTCCACTAATTTAATAAAATTCAGTTGAGTTTATTTACATGGCTCTAATTCACAAACTCTTTAAGCTGCAAGAGGAAGCAGTGAGTTTGTTCTCACCTTAATTAGAGCAAAGAATCCTGCAGAGAACCGGATCTCTGCACAGAACAAATGAAATGTTAGAAATGTTCAAACAGCCGCTGGCTCTTCAAAAAACAGAGCGAAAAACTCCACAGAAACACAGAGGAGCAAATGAGGAGCCCTGAGGTTCACCAGCATCAAACATCTGAGAAAATCGCAACAAGCAGAGGCACAAATTTCCTCCTCTGAGACTCTGTGCCTGAACGCAGCGGCTTCTGCTCATTATTTCATCACTTTATAGATGAAATGATCGTTTCATTGATTAACTGAAACATGTCAGACAAACAAATGTGTATTTTTGTGATTTGGATGAAAAGTTTCAGGTTTTCATCTTTATAACTTGTTTGGTTGTGAACAAATGGAAATCGTGTTCTGCATCCCTGGAGCCAAAGACAAGCAGTGAGTTTCCAGAGGAGCTAATAAATCAGAGCTGTTGAAATGTCAATATAACATTTACTTTTAATAACCAGAAGGCAATAATGAGAGGAACGTCTGGAAGAGTTAAACTGAACCAAGATCTCATCTTTCACTTCCTTCTGGATTATCAAAAGCCCGACCCGACCCGACCTGCACCAACCCGCCCTGACCCACCCTGACCCGACCCAAAGTCTCAATAATGACACATCTTGTGTAAAAATATTACTTCAATAAAACATTTTTTATTTTAGTTCCCAACACATGATGCTATTTTCTCCTGAATGGAATAACTGGAACCAAAGTGCGACCGGTACCAGAACTGGTTCCGTCCTGTTGTTCTGGGTCGGTGAGGTTCCAGAACCTGTCGGATCCTCCCTCTGGTTCTGGTTCTGAAGACTCTTAATCTGCTCAGATTAGGATTCATCCCGTTTCTCCTGCAGCAGATTCAGTTTCTAATCCTCCAGTTTAAAACGTTTAAAACCCTCAGAGGCTCTGAAGTGAAGATTAAACGAGTCAGCAGGAAATTTATATTTAATTTAACCCACAAGTTTAGAATCACAACTTCATGAATGTTGGATTATTAGGAAACATTTTAATAGAAGCAGCAAGAAAATGATCAAAACACAAACACACATGGATTATGAAACAAACAGGATGAACTTAAAGTTTAAACTCTGATCCAAAACTTTAGATTATAAAACAGCCAAAGTTTCCTGAGACGACGACGATCTGGAATCACAACCTGAATGGAGGTTTTGTCCTTTTCCAAGTTATTGTTTTTAAAATAAATTAGCACTGTGGTCATAACACACACACACACACACACACACACACACACACCCACACACACACACACACACACACACACACACAGACACACACACACACACACACACACACAGTGAGTGAAAATATTGAATTTTTGCTTCGGTCCAGCGGCAGAAAAGAATGAGCTTATTAAAGTAAGAGTGAAGAGGAAAATGTGAAGCATGTGAAGCAGAAATGTTCCTGCCTGCTCCTTTCCTTTTGTTCTCACTCTGAGCTCATGTCAACCCGGCTGCACACACACACACACACACACACGCACGCACACACACACACACACAGAACCAGGACAGAGACAAGATGATGACTGATACGGTCACAACTCGCCGCTCACAGAGGAGACAATCTGAGACGCGGCGGCTCCTCTCAGCCCGGCCGTCACTTTGCCTCATTTTGCTCACTTAGCGGTCCGGTGGTACCTGCCAGTCGGCCATTATCGCCTCCATCTCTGCAGCTAATAAGGATTGCCAGATAAGGAGTCCCTTTAATAAGTCCAATCAGGCTTTAAGGCTTCTGTCTTTCAGGTCATGAAGGTATTTCCATCAAGAGTTTAAAAACTTTAATCAACAGAAAAGGTTTATTAAAAGCTCAGAAAAACATCTGAGAAGAAAATAAAATCCTCTGGAAAGATGCAAATCCCAAGAAGACATAAAGATCCGTCACCGTTAGTGAAACATTTCAGTCAGCAGGATCACCATGCTTTACTCTGACGCCCATAAATGAAGTCAACTCCTCTCCATCTGCCTTCTGCTCTGAAAGAGCAAACCATTTTAACCTAAATGCAGTTTCTGGAATAAAAACTACTTTGTTTTTATTTTTGCCAAAAAAATAGAATGTATAAGTTTTCTTGAAATATAATATTTCACAATGTAAATGTCAAATAAGCTTTAGGTTTTTTAAATTGCAAATTTCTTAATGCAATTTGTAATAGAGAAATAAAAGAAACACAGGAAGACATTTACTGATGAAATGATATTTAAATGAAATAGGATAATAATAATAGAAATAAAATAAAAGATCTGCTGTCACTGACCGAGACTGTTCACAATGAAGAACTGTTCAAAAGAACCAGATCGTTCATGAACGTCTCATCGCTAATCTGAACTGACTGCCCGACCAAGCAGAGCACTGAAGAGACAAAGAGGCCCAGAGTGACTCTGGAGGAGCTGCAGAGACTCAGAGCTCAGGTTGAACTGGATGAATTTGCGTCGCGGAGCGGAAAGAAAAACAGATGAAATCCTGCATCTGTTTCACCAAAGTCTTTAAAAGACTCAGCAAACCTGATTTGGTTGGAGGGGGTGAAGCTTTTTGGAGGAACCGTCGTGACGAGACACTCGGCTGGAGGAGGAGACGGAAACCCGAGCGAACGCTAATCCACCAGCAGCACAAAACCCTGATTTATCTGTATTGATTATGATGCTGGAAGAACTTTAATAGGTTTTGGTTTGTGAACAGGAAACATTTAGTTTTTAGAGAGGAGAACTGAACGGTGATTTGGGGACTTCTGCTGACCCTGTGATGGTTTGTGACATTTGGAGTTTCTGAAACACGTTTAATCTCAGGATAATTATGGCAAATCTGACGGCACTATCCATCACAGCCAATTGCAATTACCTGCATATAGATCACTGTCACACAGAAAGCGCTGCTCGGGGAGGTTCTGTGTGCGGATGGAAAACATTCTATCAAAATGCCAACAGCAACACGAGCGTCAGCCCAGAGCGCCAGCCCAGAGCGCCAGCCCAGGGCGCCAACCCAGAGCACCAGCCCAGAGCGCCAACCCAGAGCGCCAACCCAGAGAGCCAGCCCAGAGCGTCAGCCCAGGGCGCCAACCCAGAGCACCAGCCCAGAGTGCCAACCCAGAGCGCCAACCCAGAGCGCCAACCCAGAGCGCCAACCCAGAGCGCCAACCCAGAGCGTCAGCCCAGGGCGCCAACCCAGAGCGCCAACCCAGAGCGCCAACCCAGAGCGCCAACCCAGAGTGCCAACCCAGAGCGCCAACCCAGAGCGCCAACCCAGAGCGCCAGCCCAGGGCGCCAGCCCAGGGCGCCAACCCAGAGCACCAGCCCAGAGCGCCAACCCAGAGCGCCAACCCAGAGCGTCAGCCCAGAGCGCCAACCCAGAGCGCCAACCCAGAGCGTCAGCCCAGAGCGTCAGCCCAGAGCGCCAACCCAGAGCGTCAGCCCAGAGCGTCAGCCCAGAGCGCCAACCCAGAGCGCCAACCCAGAGCGCCAGCCCAGAGCGCCAACCCAGAGCGCCAACCCAGAGCGCCAACCCAGAGCATCAGCCCAGAGCGTCAGCCCAGAGCGTCACCCCAGAGAGTCAGCCCAGAGCGTCAACCCAGAGCATCAGTCCAGAGCGTCACCCCAGAGCGTCACCCCAGAGCGTCACCCCAGAGCGTCACCCCAGAGCGTCAGCCCAGAGCGCCAACCCAGAGCGCCAGCCCAGAGCGTCAGCCCAGAGCATCAGCCCAGAGTGCCAACCCAGAGCGCGAGCCCAGAGCGTCAGCCCAGAGCACCAACCCAGAGAGCCAGCCCAGAGCGTCAGCCCAGAGCTTCAGCCCAGAGCGCCAGCCCAGAGCATCAGCCCAGAGCGTCAGCCCAGAGAGTCAGCCCAGAGCGTCAACCCAGAGCCTCAGCCCAGAGCGCCAACCCAGAGAGCCAGCCCAGAGCGTCAGCCCAGAGCGCCAACCCAGAGCGCCAGCCCAGAGAGTCAGCCCAGAGCGTCAACCCAGAGCATCAGCCCACAGCGTCACCCCAGAGCGTCACCCCAGAGAGTCAGCCCAGAGCGTCAACCCAGAGCGCCAACCCAGAGCGCCAGCCCAGAGCGTCAACCCAGAGCATCAGTCCAGAGCGTCACCCCAGAGCGTCACCCCAGAGCGTCACCCCAGAGCGTCAGCCCAGAGCGTCACCCCAGAGCGTCACCCCAGAGCGTCAGCCCAGAGCGCCAACCCAGAGCGCCAGCCCAGAGCGTCAGCCCAGAGCGTCAGCCCAGAGCGCCAACCCAGAGAGCCAGCCCAGAGCGTCAGCCCAGAGTGCCAACCCAGAGCGCCAGCCCAGAGTCAGCCCAGAGCGTCAACCCAGAGCGCCAGCCCAGAGCGTCAGCCCAGAGTGTCAGCCCAGAGCGCCAACCCAGAGCGCCAACCCAGAGCCTCAGCCCAGAGCGCCAACCCAGAGAGCCAGCCCAGAGCGTCAGCCCAGAGCGTCAACCCAGAGCGCCAGCCCAGAGAGTCAGCCCAGAGCGTCAACCCAGAGCATCAGCCCAGAGAGCCAGCCCAGAGCGTCAGCCCAGAGCGTCAACCCAGAGCATCAGCCCAGAGCGTCACCCAGAGTGTCACCCCAGAGCGTCACCCCAGAGCGTCACCCCAGAGCGTCACCCCAGAGCGTCAGCCCAGAGCGCCAACCCAGAGTGCCAACCCAGAGCGCCAACCCAGAGAGCCAGCCCAGAGCGTCAGCCCAGAGCGTCAACCCAGAGCATCAGCCCAGAGCGTCACCCCAGAGCGTCACCCCAGAGCGTCACCCCAGAGCGTCACCCCAGAGCACCCAGAGCGTCAGCCCAGAGCGTCACCCCTGAGCGTCAGCCCAGAGCGCCAACCCAGAGCGCCAACCCAGAGCTCCAACCCAGAGAGTCAGCCCAGAGCGTCAACCCAGAGCCTCAGCCCAGAGCGCCAACACAGAGAGCCAGCCCAGAGCGTCAGCCCAGAGCGTCAACCCAGAGCGCCAGCCCAGAGCCTCAGCCCAGAGCGTCAGCCCAGAGCGCCAACCCAGAGCGCCAGCCCAGAGCGCCAGCCCAGAGCGTCAGCCCAGAGCGTCAGCCCAGAGCGCCAACCCAGAGCGCCAGCCAAGAGTGTCAGCCCAGATTGGCAGCCCAGAGCACCAGCCAGAGAGCCAACCCAGAGCGCCAGCCAAGAGCGCCAACCCAGAGCACCAACCCAGGGCGTCAACTCAGAGCGCCAGCCCAGAGCGTCAGCCCAGAGCGTCAGCCCAGAGCATCAACCCAGAGCGCCAGCCCAGAGCATAAGCCCAGAGCGCCAACCCAGGGCATTAGCCCAGCGCATCAACCCAGAGCGCCAGCCCAGAGTGTCACCCCAGAGTGTCACCCCAGAGCGCCGCCTGAACAGGGATTTTAACATCCCGCTCCCATGGCGCCGATCCAGATGGCAATCACACGGCCCGCTCCATCAGGAAGAGCAAACATCCTGGTGGGATTACACCCGGAAAGCTTCAGCCAGCAGGACAAACTCACCTCCACCGCGTCTTCACGGACCGGCAGGTCCTTTAACATGTCACCATGGAGTCCATTTAGTTTGAGCAGAACGCTATGAAGAAACAACTCCATGACTGTTTAGGTCCAAACAGCTTGTTCTTCCATTTCATGAGAGAAATATTCTCATTCTCATGTTGTTTGTCTGGCAGGTGTGATTGTTGGATTTTCTCCTTTCTGTCAGTTTGTTGTATTAATCCTTCAGTCTGTTTCTGTTGTCACAAGAGCTTCAACCATGAATATCAATTAAATCTGTCATATTTCGCCTGTTCTGCTCCTCTGAGTGGAAGCTGATGGGAATCTGCTCACCTGGTAAACAGCCACTCACCTTTAACTTTCATCTAGTTCTGTCATGGTAACAGATAGAAAAGTCCTGCTCATAATTTCCTCTACATGAATAAAATATTGCATGATGTGGATCAGAGCCAAACAAACATCCTTCATATCTGAATGTTATGCATGTTTTTATTTTATCTTCCTTCCTCTGCTGCCCGACAGGTGAAGAAGAAGAAATGTTGAAAATATGACCTGAGTTTGTTATTAGCCTTCAGCACAAACAGCCACCAGATATTATTCGCCCTGGAAGGACGGCGGCCATGTTGGAGCCGTAACCATAATCCATCCGGGTTTCACTCCAAACGGAGAAAACCTGAAATAAATCCCAACAAAATGCAGCGACAGAACCAGGACAAAACCAGAACAGAACCAGGACAGAACCAGGACAAAACCAGAACAGAACCAGAACAGAACCAGAGCAGAACCAGAACAGAACCAGGACAGAACCAGAACAGAACCAGAGCAGAACCAGGACAGAACCAGAGCAGAACCAGAACAGAACCAGAGCAGAACCAGAACAGAACCAGGACAGAACCAGGACAAAACCAGAACAGAACCAGGACAGAACCAGAGCAGAACCAGGACAGAACCAGAACAGAACCAGAGCAGAACCAGGACAGAACCAGAGCAGAACCAGGACAGAACCAGGACAAAACCAGAACAGAACCAGAGCAGAACCAGGACAGAACCAGGACAAAACCAGAACAGAACCAGAACAGAACCAGAACAGAACCAGAACAGAACCAGAACAGAACCAGAACAGAACCAGAACAAAACCAGAACAGAACCAGAACAGAACCAGAACAGAACCAGAACAGAACCAGAACAGAACCAAACAGCTGCAAACTTTGGTCCAATCTGTGAGTTTTGATCAATATTTGTTTTGCTTACATGCGGCAGCATTTTGGATGGATTGCTGGATGGTCTAGTTAAATCCTGCTTCATCTCCTGGTCACATCTATAGTTTCCATGGTAACCATCTAGATGTGTCGGGTCGAAACTCGTTGCTGTTAAAATCCCTCCAGTCAAAAACAAAACAACAGCAGCGTCTCCAAATAAATCCTTTTATTCAATTCAGTTTGATTACAATCACACATTGTGTCCAGTAGCTTCAGGTCCACAGAGCGTCCAGGTGTCCAGGCAGGTTGGACGGGTTTAATTACTGACAGGTTCAGTTATTTATATACTCAGCAGTGATAAAGATAAAAACATCCCTATCTGGTCATAACCAGGTTAAAAAATGCTGGTTTGAATTTTTATTCTTTAGTTTTATTCTGTGGCTCTAATCAAATCTGACTGAGTCTGAATTTGACGTCAATGGATTCTGGCATCCAGAGCCTGTCAGGAAACTTTCATTTCCTCCTTCGTTAGCGTTTCAGTGTTTGTCTGAGTCTGTCTGTGTTGGGATCTGCAGGTCTGGATTCGCTCTTCTTCCTCCAGTCCAAACGGTTCTGTTAAGAGTCTGAACTGAGTCACAGCGACGCAGAGGCATCGATGCCAGGGAGGAAAGTCTGGGTGAGAAAACGAGAACGGCCGAGTAAAGATGAGCAGCGCAAGAAATCAAACAAAAACTGCACTGAAATCTGAACGAGAACCTTCCTCTTTACGCATCAAGCAGCTTTTATGTTTTCCACTTGTGGAGAGTCGAACAGTTTGATCGCAGAGAGCAGCTGCTGCTTCACAGGGAAAACTCTGCAGGTTTCAGCAACGCTTTGTTCAACTGACCAGTGAAAACTTTGGCTGTAAATCCTCCATTTCAGCTGAGACGTTTCTGCTGCAAAAAAGTTACAAATTTAATAATTCATATATGCTAAAACATGAGAATTATCTCCCTCCCAGTTTGGACTCCAGCGACTTAGAGGTCTAGCATGAAATGACTTTGCTTCAACCTCAATTACAGCTGGGAGTAAAAATCAGTGAAGTGACTCCGATGCCAGGTTATAAATTTGTATAATCTATATCTCGGTTGGCCCAGATTACCATTAAAACATTAATGCATTAATAGTGAAATGAAAGGCTGGAGGAAGTCAAAGATGAAACTCAGAGGTGAACGTTTGGAAAGTCGGGGCACAGCCTCTTCTTTTTCAAATTTGATCATTTCTGAAACTGGATCTCAGATTCATCACAGATTAATCCTGGGAGACATTTTGTTACACATCATGAGAAACCAAAGAAAGCTGCTCCTCTTATCAATACTGGTGCAACACGATGGATTAATGTGCAGAAAAATGTTCCTGAAGAATCAGAACCAAACTGATGGTCTGAGCATTAGAGGCATCACATTCTGTTCCAGAGCAGAAGAAAAACAGAAACTCACTCATTTCTTCATAAACGGATCCAACCGTGAAATACTGACCCAAACGGGCAACAACTCCCAGGTTTCACTCAAACTCTGAGGAAACTTCAACTTTCTTAAACACTTTTCAGGCACTTTGCATGTGATTCCCAGAGTCCTTAAAGTGATCGGACCGTCGATCGGATCGTATTGATCAATGTTTGGGAAGCTTTCAGGAATATTCTTCAACTTCACAAAGTAAAGTTCTAACAGTCCTGACATTAAGTCCTGATCAGACTTCAGTTCTGAAACAGTTCATTCAGCATCACTTCCTGTTTGAAGTCCTTCAGCAGAAACAGGCCTGAAAGGTCAAAGGTGAAGAAGACTGTATCCTCACACCGGAAACCAGCTGCTGTCACTCTGGGCGTTCCTCACAGAACCAGGAAGTGGAGAGGAAGTGATGTGAATGTTGAAGGTTATCAGAATAAAGTCTAATCTGGACCCGGCTGGCGTGGGGAGGGGGGTTAGGGTAGATTTTAAACATTGCTGATGAAATCTTAGCAGTTAGAAAGTTTATGATGCAAATTTGATGACAGGTTTTGGAAAGCGTCCCATTTGGAGACGGAACCAAATCCTTCAGATCGGGGCTCATTAAGGAACCGACTGGATGAAGGAACTCGCTGCCCAGCTGTTGCCTCCAATCACCAGTTAATTGTGGCGCCGACTCGCCGGTATCGCCCCGGCTCGGTCCGATTACCGCCTTATTAATGCAAATTCCTGAGAGATAAATATGGCACATGCTCAGTATTTACTTTGCGAGTTCGGCGGCTGCAACGCTTCAGAGGGATTTTTTAATGAGTCTTAAGCAGCTAGCAGGAGGGCAGCTGGTTATTATTCCATCCTGCAGTTCATTCAAGTGAAAGATCAACAAATAAGCAAATGAATTAAGAGGAGACAAAGTTTCAGCTTGACGGGCGCCTGCCGAGGTGAACAGGCTTCGTCTTAATTTAGTGTTCAGGAGCAGAGGTAATTTATCTACGTTTGTATCTACAAACATAATTCAGACGTTGCACTTATCTTGTCTCCAGCAGGTGATGTAAATACTTCTTCCTTTGTTGTGAATTAATCAGCTTCCTGTCTCATCTCTCATTATGCTGCCTGGATCTGCAGCTATTCTGCATCCTTAGCAAAAACACTCAGAATTGATAACAAGCCAGCTGCATTGATTTAAATGGAAAGCTTGTCTTGTTATCATATTTAAACAGACAGAGGATTTTCTCAACATGACAGTCATTGTTTATGGTTTGTATTTCAGAGCCGGTTAGGATTTCAACTCCCATCATCAGCTTTCCGTTTCTGACTGGGCAGGAAAACATGTCCGCTTCCTCTCCCCTCGCTGCTCTTGGCCAGCAGCTGACACTCCTGCTGCTGCAAGTCTGTCCTCATTTAGGAAACGGCCAGGCTGATAAACGGCCGTGGCGAACAGAGCGCCGGCCGCCCGCAGGGTCAGCAGAGAGCTGCTCAATCTGCCGAGACCAAATGACACGGTGAGGCGGCGAATCGCAGCAGCAGCATCAGGACCGAAGCTCTGCACGCTGCAAGTAACTGGGTTATCAGCTCATCTCGCTGCACTGCTCCTTCACTGCAAGGACACGCAGCACACTGCAAAACTCTAAACCAAGCCACAGTTTGGTTTCCACTGCAAATACCTACAGCAGAGATGAGATGAACTTCTTTCAGTCAGATTATTTCACTCTCACATTTTCTCACTTCAGAGGGGAAATAACTGATCAGAGAAACTAAAATGTTTTCATCAATATTAAGGAGCTGGTTCCCAGAAAGCCTCTGTATCTTGCTGAAATGTTACCAGTTCATTTTGTCTTATTTCAACAAATTTGCCCTAAAATCCAGACAAAAATGCTTCGTTTGTGTTTTTGCAGAGCAAATGAAAATACATTTTTTCTCTCTGTCTGAAGTTAAATCAGATTGTTTTATTATCTGATCTTTCTATAATTTCAAAATCACCAAAATTATTTCTATTTGCTGAAAGCCAGAAAACTTAGTGAGAATATTTCTCCCTGCATCTGGTCCGTATCGGGGACAACTGTCACATCAAACCTTTTGGGTTTCCTTCCTCCATCTCCTC